TAGCAGTGTCTTTACTACAGCCTCGGGTTAAAATTCACGGGCTCAATGTGACTCTGCCTCATTGAGGATTCTGTGGTAACGTAGCAAGAGGCTGGCGAAGAAAATATCATGGGGGCGGAGAAACGGAAGTAGTATAAAGGGAGGGTTTCCCGTCGATATGGTGTTTTTGTTCATCAGACAACGACATACAAATTCAACTCAGACTTAAACTTGCTCTTCATACTCCTACCGCCAAAATGGTCAACTTCATTACCACTTTCGCTATCTTCCTCACCGCTGCTTCTTCAGCCCTTGCTGCTCCTCAGCCTCTTGAAGCTCGTGATGATACCAGCTGCATGGACAATCTCCCAGGCAATACTCTGGCCAATGTACGTCTCGTCGTCTAACTCTAATCAGCTCCAACCTGAATCAAGTTACTAACCTCTTCAAGGTCAACGAGGCAGTCGAGTGCATCAACTACCTCGCCAGCCTCGGTGACCAAGCCTGCGTAGCTGGTGTCTCTGGCCAGTCCTTCTGCAGGCGTGGAAATACCCAGATCACTGGTCTCGCTGTTGGACTTAACAGCGACCAAACTTCTTCTTCTCCTTGGTGGGCTCACCTTCATATCCCGTGTCTGTTGAGTCTTTGCTAATTCCGTTCTTAGCCGTGATGTTGCTCGAGGTGCTGGTCTTGTCATGGAGTAAGTCTTCTTCCTAGTGTAGCAACAGTTGTCACTAACGATTCCCAGCCGCTGCACACGAGCTGATGGAAAGGTTCGAGGACAGAACCCTGCTTGGGGCAATGGACACCTCATGGTTGATATCCGCAACGTTCCTCAGTAAGGGAAATATTTGGCGTCCTGCCGATCGCTTGGTCTTGACCTCAATGACAGACATAAGAAACGATGGGTGGCCAGAGTGATGGGTATAGCTTCTCGTATATACTAGAATACAAAGATCATATGATTGTCTCTCTCTGAACATCTTTCATGCCTCAACTTCTATTATGCTAGTATGTAACCTAAAAATAATGACCATAAAATTTGTTTGGACTGCTACATATCTCACTACTGTTTTTATTTGCTTTAATATTCAATCCTGCATTTCAAATTTGAAGCTACGTGATTGGGTTATCACCCTCACACAGAGACCGACTAAACTTTGGCTCTCTTGGACAAACTACATTGCAGCCGTACAACATTCTACTTAAACAATTTACTGTTTTCTTGCCTAGTAAATGATGGATATTTTTATAATACATCTCATAGGACGAGCGATCAATTGCCGGTTTCAAGTTAAATTTGCTTACACCGACCCCACAATCTCCGTAGTCCATGTCCGTGTCCGTGTCCGTCCACCGCGTCCGTCTCGTCTCATGCCAACCTCCACCTCCGACCGACTTTTTTCCCCCATCTCAATCCCCAATCCTCTCTCCAAATCGCCTACAGGCTGTTGACACCATGGCTACACCGGCGGTGTATTCCTCCCTCGATAAAGAAGACCGAGTCGACGACAAAAACCCCGGCCTAGCAACAAACTACCCCATCTCCCAAGATACAGACTTCAAAAGATTGTATAAGTTGGATAGTTGGCTGAAATGGTATGTCATAGCTCTTGGCATTTACCTAGCCGGTGCCATATTCTGCGTAGTGTGGTCTTACACCGGCGCACTCCTCGATAACGATGCTTCAAAACGTCGAGTCTTTCGCACAGGCGATTCCGTGCCCGTTGATCAGCTCTACTCCGGTATAGCGCTCTCAGCACTCCTCGCCCCAGCAGCTCTATTCGTTCAATTCGTCGTCTTTGATTTTCGGAGGTTGCATTTATTCGCGCTCACGACGCAGCAACCCGTTGCGATTAGAGATCTAGATGATATTGCAGAGGGCGTTACGCTGTTGACGCTACCGGCTGTTATGAAGTACTCGTGGTGGTATGGAGTCATGCATACCTTTTTGATTCTTACAAGAACGCTGCTTGTGCCAGTTGGAACACTCTCGCTTACTGTTGGGCCGTATGGTCATTTTAAGGAGGGCTGGGGTGTCGTGGGGGTTCCCATTGCGCGGGATGCAGTGGGGAGTAACATCACTGCGCTTTCGACTGCGATGGGTGCGAGTCCGGACTTGGATTTTCACCCATCGCTCTCGAAGAATGATACCTTTTTGTCACAGACGGTGTTTACGTTTGTGGGAAGTCTTGTTTCGCAGAATGCGCTGGCGAATGTCGACTCTGGTGTCTTGGGGCCTGTGCCCACGCATAACCTCACGTTTGCTACAAACACGACTTACGATGGATTGGTCTTCTTCAACTGGACCGCTGCATGCGAGGCTGCTACCGAAGTGACCTACACTTCTTACAAAGACGACGGCAACACGATTTACAACTTCACCCTCCCTGATAACAGCGTCGAGAGCATCGAACTGCTTTCGCAAGGCTCGCAAAGAATTCGACTCTGGAGTAACGCTTCAGTCCACGGCACAAACAAGATCCCAACCTCAGGCACGACGTACTTCCTCTCAGCTACAAAGGCCATCCCGAATGTCAACGAGACTGCTCTGCGGAACAGAGGCAACGACAAGAGTTTGGTGCAAACAGACGGAGGAGACTGGGTCTCTCGCACGAAATGCACGCCCTCCATCAAATGGCTCGTCGGCTCGTGTACCTTCAATGGCACGATAATGGCATCCTGTACCGAAGCCCCAGGGTCCAACCAAACAGCGCTTGACACGGAAGCGCTTGATGCGCTGGGAGTGTACATGTCTGCTATTCCGTGGTACATCTTCCGCAACCAGATCGGTATTGTTGACGATACCCTCGATGCTCTTTACGCGATTCCCACGGCGGAGGACTTTGGTCACTTCTTTGGCAACATGGCTCACGCAATCGTGTCGATCAGCACGGCTGGGTATTTTGGTACTTCATCTGTTCCTACGCTCTCCCACATCACCGAATCAGTGTACATCGTGCGCTGTAGTATCCTTATCGCTGTAACAGTAATGCTGTTCCTTTCGGTATCTGTCTCGGTCATCGACATCATTCGGAATAGGCTGAAGCATCTTCCTCAACTGCCGGCTTCATTCTTGGCCATTGCGTATGCTGTGAGAGGACCGTGGTGGGATAACGAGCTGAACGGTTATAGACCGTGGGACAAGATGAAGACGAGAAGCGATGGAGCGGAGGCGGTCATGTTTGGTGTTGACACGGAGGATTCGAGATTCATCAGGCTTGCACCGTCCGTTGCACCAATCCGTCGTTGATTCTGGATATATAGCGCTTTTCATGTAGCTACTGAGCAACTCATTTCCATCCCTTCATTCTTCAATCCTGTCATTTAACCATCCTGGTAAACATCCGTGATTCAATCATCACCGCGAAACCAAGCCCTCCCTTGTCAGTTCCAAAAACACGAGTACATCCTTCCATCACTCCTTGGCAAACTCTCCCGTAGCAAACCAGTCATCAATCCCCTCAAACCACTTATCAACCGACGCGTTGGTCAGGGCATCACGCCAGGCGGGAGGTCCCTCGTACGGCAGTTTCGCAAGTCTGAATGCGAGAGGGCGGGTGAAACTCTCGTCGAGCCAAACACCGCGCTTGATGGGCGTCTTCGTCACATCAATGATCCGCTTCATGTTGTCACCAAGCTCGTTGGGGTCGGACTTGAACTTGTTGTAGATGATGACGTCGAATTCGAGATCGCCCATGTATTCGCCATCGCCTGCGAAGTTGGCCTCCTCGAAGTCCATGCCGTGGCAGGACCAGCTGAGGAACTTGGCGATAGTGAGGCGGATCATCCACTGGAGGCTATGGTATATTAGCTGCGCTCAACAACAGATGTGATAGTGATCAAGGGGGAGAGTTGAACTTACAGAGCATCGCGATATCCATGCAACTTGCCGCCAGTCTCCTAGAACTTGAAGCGCAGCAGGTTGGTACGCTCCCCCTCCGGCAGCCCTGCACGTGTACCCTGAAGAGCATTGATGAAATCGATCAGAATGAAGTTCTCCTTCGGGTCCATCTTCGACCTCTCGACGTAAAAGTCAAAGATCAGAAGAGGATCCATCCAAGGGTCACTCTTAATGCAGAGTCGCACAGTGAGTTCGGCCTTCCCATTGGTCGTGGGCGCCATCCACATAGCGAAGCCATGGATGGCACAACGGTTTCCGTCCTCGTCGGCAAAAAGAACGTTCTCATTCAGCTCGAAGAAGAAGTGCTGGCGGCATTCGGTCTCACCGGGCAGCTGGTAGTACTGCAGAGACATGCCGACGAGGCCGGTGCGGGAGACGACAGCGAGATGAGGGTCCGTCTGGCCGAGGATGTCGGATAGGGTGAAGGTATCACGCGCAGGAGGAGGGACTTTCTCCCAGTCGCGCTCCTCAGTGAGGAGGGCGGTCTTCCAGTATGTGTCGTGATTCTTGGTAGGGTCGACACCAGTGGAAGGGTGCATAGTGGCATGGGCCCGCTTGGACGCATACTCGGCAGCCTGCATCTTGGCGGTCTTGTAGACAAACAGAGACTTCTATTCGTATACTTAGAGGGTGATAGAGACCGCGTCCAAACACGGTTGGTGTTGGTTGTGTGTGGATCGAGTTTGCATGCAGGTCGTGGAGGAGGGAGACGAGGGGGTTACGAAATATTTTACACTAGAGTTGGATGCCTACCGATAGACAAAAGGGTCATGTGGGATCTTTAGGGCCCGGTATGGCAGACTACCCCTCTGTCAGTGCAAGGACACTCACTGATATTTCGACCTTGCTCCCCTTTTATGACATAACTGCCAAATATCCTTGGTCTCCTCCACTCACGCATCTTTCGTCTACTCTCATCATATCTACGGCGTCAATCTGTTTTATTTGTTCATGATCGCTTTCCTTTCTTTCATATCCGAAACAGCTTGCCTGAAGTTCAAGCTGATTGCTCCCTTGCAAACACAATCGTCATGAAAGCGACAAAAGACAACATCATCCAAGCATGACTTCTTACGTACCCAATCCCTCTCATCCAAGCTCTTCTGGCTGCTTCTCTTTAACAACACGAAACCCAGCCAGCGCTAGACTCAGAATCCGACTCAGAGTAGGAGTCTGAATCTCTCGCGCGGTTGATCCGCGTCAAGAAACTCCGAACCCGATCCAATTCCGCTTCTCCTTCAGATCCAGTATCTGAGTCTGTGCTTGAATACAAGTCCGTTTCTTCAACATACAGTCGCACAACCTTCCCTTGCCAACTCCTCTTCATCTTCGACAGTCTCTTCGCATAATCTAATGTCGACTCTTCAAGCCATTGGGCTCTTCTACCGTAAAGCAACACCTTGGCTTCTATGTATCCACCCCACGGAACCTCTTCCCGAACACAGTTTGCATCGGCTTCAGCTGAAAGACGCTTCTGGTCCATGAACCGACCACAAAGAAGCCATTCCCTGACTGCATCAGTTCCAGCGACTAGAAAACAGCTGGTGAACCCGCTCTTGCTCATGTACCTCAAGGATGCCCCATTGCGAGCGAGAAGCTTGACAGCATCCAGGCTCCCGCAAGCACTTGCATTCATGAGTGCCGATCCAAAACAGGAACCTTCAAAGTTGATATCAGCACCCATCTCAAGGCAATTCGCGATAATGTCAACACGATTCAAAGCGGCTGCGTGGCATAAAGGGCTCCAGCCGCGCGATGGTTCAAGATTCAGGACTTTGCGGAACAGATCAGCTGGCATTCGTTGTCGAAGCCGCTCGAATGAGGATGTTAGGAGGGCAAGACCAGAAAATTCACACCACTCCAGATGCCACGGAAAAGGAGTCGTTCCGCTCAGATCTTGTTCGCGGTCCAATACCCAGTCAACTAGATCTTCTTCGCCCAAGATGTGATGCATCATACTCCGACCCGCCTCATCCTCACTCGTGAGATCAGACTTGAGCTTATGCATACTGTCCAAAGTGTTGGGGGTTAGTCGCAACGCCTCGCATTGTGCCGAGAATCGTGACGTGTCTGATACAGTGAAGAGCTTCTTCGGTAACCGTGAAAAGCTGATAGGGTGCGCTTCATCAAACAGATCATCACCAAACCATTTCATCAACGACGGTAGCGATCCGACCCTGCACACTGCAGCTGTCGATGCCCCAAGCGAGACTAGATGCTTTGCCATACTATCATCTTGCGAAAATATAAGTGGTGTCCACCCATTCGAGTCGGCTGCGTCGATATCCGCTCCCCTCTCTACCAGAAGTGAGACTGCCTCCTTGTTCCCATGCCACGCAGCCATGTGCAACGCCGTCGTCTTTGCACGATATGTCCAATCTTCAAAGCTATTTTCATAAAAGAACCTACTAGGAAACAAGCGGTTCAACACGTCTTTGAAGGCTTGTGAAGATCTGTGGACTGGTTAGTCACTTGTCATACATCTCCCATTTCTGCTTACCCGATGTAATGAAGGTGTCTTTCAGCTTCTTCAAGCAATATCTCAAGGCCTTTCGTGTTACTTTCTTCTATTGCTTCATGGAATGGAAGCTCACGCCCGAATCTCAAGTCACCGCCTTGCCTTAAATATCTCAAGAACAATTTCGGCAGCAAACGATTGAGGCTTCGCAGGCCAGCAGCTATTTCAATGGCACTTTTCCCGAATTCATCGTTATAATCCGCTTGCAATGCACTGGCTCCTTTGCCCAACAACCATTTGCCCATGGTAAAGTTGTCATCCTCCAAAGCTACCAGAAACGCTGACAATCCAGGCCTTGATGGGAGGGGGACATCAACAGAGCACCCTTTGTCAATCAGCTGCATCATACTTTCATAATCATCTTCTTTTACGGCCCTTTCGAACGCCAATGCCAAACGCTCTGCTGGTTCCCCGAATTCTGCAAGTTCTTGGATAGATGAAATTTGTTTGTAGCCAACCCAGGGAACCCCTTCCAAAACCTCATAGATTTCTTCGAATTCAAGGTCGGAGGAAATCCTCCCTGGGCTCATGCCGTTTTTATCCAAGGTTTGAAATGCGCCATGCTCCATCAAGCATTGGACGACTTGTAGATGTCCGCCGAACACAGCCAAATGCAACGGACTGAAGCCGAATTGACTTTCAACCATTGTGTTGAATCCTCTTGTCAGAAGAAGCTTCATGACATCTAAGAAGCCATTATAGGCAGCTATGTGGACCGGAGAAAGCCCTTCATCTGATAGTAAAGACTTTTCTGGCTCCGAAACTTGGTGCAATATGTACTCTAGGCAGGCAACGCTATTGCAGGCCGAGGCCATATGTATTGCGTTTCCGTTAGTGATCACAACCTTTGGACCAAACTCTTGGAGTTCAAACGTCACCGGATCTGACCATCGAAACGAGGTCCCGGCCTCGCTTGTGTGATTTGCAATCTTCTGCAGGAATGCCACATTATCGGTGGCTATACACGCAAGTACTCCATTAACGACTGAAGGACCGCTTACATGTAGGTCGGCACCTAATTCTAGCAGTCGTTCTGCAAATTGTAAAGAGGATTCTTGGAGATGATATACAAGAGGCGTAGCTTTATACGAGCCTGATCCAACATAGTTTATGTCAAACCCGTGTTGCACAAGTGCCTCCGCCAACCAAAGGATGTCCTTTGCGTCTTCTGATGTAGCAAGTGTATGAAGAGGCGATGCATGATCTTTTCCAAAAGAAGATTCCACTGTCTCTCCAACACTGCAACGTTCCAATAGTTCCCTGAGAGCTGTCGTCCCGTCTTCGGTCTTGCAAAGATCGATCGCCACGGGAGCACGAAATACAACTTCGAAGGATGTTTGGCCATCGACAAGGTGGTGGAGGTCAGCCCCCTTCTCGTTGAGTAGCCGTATCATATCGAGGTTGGCATTCTTTATCACATCTTGAAACAACAAGGATATTTCGTCAGAGTTTTGCATGCCATCCCAGTAACTGGTTTGCAAAATAGCATCGCGAAGCATCGGCATCAACGAGAAATGGTAATTGGACAGTAGTGGCACCAGTCCACTTTCTTTATACTGTTTCTCATGGCTGCGCATCGCTCCGAGTTCGAACACGATCCTCATCATGGTTTCGAATTCTTTTGAGCTGGTGTATTGTTCTTTGCTAGGCCCTTCATTGTCAGGTAGGCAACACACAAAGCTCCACAAGCTCTGGGTCTCGCTTGATCCAGTGTCATTCAGGGTGTTGGGGAAGAGGGCTTTGATGATATTGTTTTTTGGGAACACGCGATTGTCGAGCGAATTGGTGATGTACGTCTCAAGCGGTAGTCTGCCATCAACTCTTGAAGTAAGCGCGTCTGGATAAATCTTAATCAGTAACTTCACCTGGTCCAAAGAGACCCAAGCTTTCAGTTTGTGTACTGGTGTTGGTTCAGCTCCTATCATGCTGTCGAACTCAGCAAATTTCCCCTTCAGATAGCAAACGCTTTGTTCAGTCTCTAGGCTCGTGGTCATCCCTGATGCCCTGCGGTAACCCTGCAAAAAACTTAGAATTTGAAGGCATAGCTTATTCAAGTCAAGGTCGCGATGTTCGCTTTTTGGGCTCTCTCCAGCGCTTTCGAATACCACAATCAACGGCGTCGCGCCATAACGTGACCTCGACTGAAGCCCCTTGATCGTCTCTTCTGTAGCCAACTCGAAGATATCATTGATAAACTGATAGTCCAAGGGACGGTCCTGAGCCCAGTAATGTAAGATGCTGTATCCATCTTGGTCCTGGCTCATAAGAGATATTCCAAGATCCTTCAAGACCTTGCAAAGGCGTAGCCTGCCATGACGCTCACACAAATGAATTGGGAACTTGCCTTCCTCATTTCCGGTATAGGGATCGAACCCCGCAGTAACCAAGGCTTTGAAGCTGTCAAACGCGTTGTACTTGATTGCCAGGTGTAAAAGCCCATTGACCAGTCCCGAGTACCGAACTTGATTCTTTAGTCGCCTGTCCTTAAAACAGTACTTGAGCAACGCAATATTGTCGCTGCAAATAGCTGAGACTAGCTGGGAAACCAAAGCGTCGTCCGACATCAGGTCACAAGAACCAACCAAACTCAAATCTCTTGTCAGGGAGAATTTACATTCTTGAGCCCAACTCCAGACAATCAGACCCAGCTCAGCACCCCATTCGCTACTGTAGGCTCCAGTCGAACTGAGGAATTTCAAAAGCATGCGAGTCGACACTTCTGCCACATAATTTGATGTGCTAGTAGCCACGAGCCATTCTTGAAGAACCTTGACGTCAGACACAGACGGTGTGATATGAGAACATAGGCACCGAAATACAGGATATAAGTCGTTAAATATCGATGCAAACAAGCAAGTGATAGAGAAAACAGAGAGCGTGTTGGGGGGGATCAGATGGTCTGAAGACCGCGCTCCAGCATGCATCAGGCAGTCAATCGTCATATCTCTACGCTGGGCCGAGGGCAAGAACTTATCTCTTCCATTGGTCATAAGAGAGCGGTGTTTGGCGTTTGTCCCGCTCATTTCTGCCAGCCCAGGGACTGCCAAAATGGATATGAATGCAAGGTCGAGAGGTGTTGCGGCATCGAGTTTCTCGTTCACATCCGAACCATTGCAGATCAAAAAGCCGCATATCTCGGGAATATTCAAAGCAGCAGCCATGTGCAGTGGCTGAAAGGAAGGATTTCTCACTGTTCTCCAGGCCTGTATTTCGCTAAGTGCTGACTGAGTGCCAGTAGCAAACGTAACCTTTTTGAATACCTCAATAGCCCAGCACATGAAGAATGCTCGCTTGCGAGACTGGAACAGAGACTTCACTAGATCTAGAATTTGTGAGTCGCCTAGCCCATCCTGTGTGAGTTTGATCCATAAGAGGGCGGCATGTCTGTAAAACGGGTATGTCTCGTCTCTTTGACCAGTGGCAGCGATTTGTTCGTGCGGGTTGTTGGGCAGCTTGTCAAAATTCTCCATTTGGAGAAAACGCAGACACTGCGTAGCAAGAAGCTGGTTTGTCGTGTGCTGAGCAATCCGGTACTTTCCAAGGTTGGTACCTTGAGATATGGCGTTTTCGTCTTCCAGGAATTCGCGGACAGAGAAGTGGGCAAATTCGAAGTATCTTCCATCCGTAGATTTTCGTATGAGGCTGCTGCACCTTTTCAATATTTCGTATTCTGGTACGACATTGCCTTCGTCTATCTTTCCCTCTGTTGTTAGAGTTGAGACCGCTTGCCGCAGCTCAACGATCGTCAACTTCGGCTCTGCTATGGCCATGAAGTGAAGACACATTTGAACCATGTTTTGTACTCCAAGAGAGAACTGATTTACCTTCTCGAGGAGGCGACGATAACTCTCAGGTAAGTCGGGCGGGAGCTTGCTCAAAGCTTCGCGGCGCTCCTGGTCGTGAGCACAGTTGCCCAGGTAGTCCAGCTGGCAAACTACCCACCTGAACCTAGATCTTGTTATTTTGGCTCGTATTGGACGTTCATTGCGGTCTTACATCCCATCAGCCTTTGCCACCAAAGCGCTCCGGATCTCCTCTTTCATATTCGCACTGGTTAGCTGAAGTTGTCGTGTGCGAATCCTCTTGTCAATTTCGGCATTCACATAGAGTTCCACATCCTCGGTATGCGCTGCGATTTGGATAGGCTCGAATTCTTCTTCGAAGCGCACACGAATGTTGACGTGATCCCGACTGAAAATAGCCATCGACACTCGCTCAGCGTTGTCAGCTAATTGGATCAGGTTGTCGACAACCTCGTCGGTCATATCGTCACACTCATCAATACCATCAACAACTATGATGGTTTGGTCAAATGTCTCACACATTTTACTGATTTGAGCTCGTAGTTCGTCTGAATCGGCAGTCTGCGGGAGTCCTTCTGGTGGATAAAGGCTTTCGTAGTAAGCGTCCAGGACGTCATATGATTCATCATTTTGACGTGCAAGTTGAGAAGCCAGTGCACCAAGAATATTTACTATGTTCCACGTTTTCGAATCCTTGTAGTCACAAAAGAAGAACGCCACTCCTGTCTTGCGAGAAGCGCGATTGAGAGAGAGAGCCTCTTGAATTACGGAGCCAGCGAGGATGGTTTTGCCTGCTCCTGGTATTCCAGTCAACCATAGCTTGGAGCCTGGTGTTTCGAGCCAGCGAACAAAAGTTGGTGATTCAGTCAGCCAGAGTCCTGTCATTGAATGACGAAGCCTGATGCTTGTTTGCAGTGCGGGCTGCGGATTCGCTTTCATGAAATGATCCAGAATACGCTTTTTTCGTTTGTCGATGGCTATCATAGTGTTGATCTCAATCCTTCTCGCCACCTCTCCTAAAACGGTAATCTTTCTGTCTATTTCGTCAGATTTGGAGAGCGATAGCTGTATCTTCCGCATCGAGTCAGCAAGAAGGGCGACGCTGATGGTTTCCTTATGCCGAGACAGCTCGGTCAGAAGCTCTTTTGTCTCTGACGATGAGAAGGGCCATTTGAGTTGTCGTACGATCCCGTCGAGCTTGGATTTCTTGAAGCTTTCAGAAGCTTTCTTGACTCTTGATTCGATTTTGTTGAATGTCTTGTAGCAGTGATTTAGATAGTGGTTCCTCAATGTCGGGTCAAAGGATTGCCCTTCATCTTCCAAATCTGATGCCAAGGCCTCAAGGCGTCGCAACACGCTGGAGAGATTGTTGATCTCGTCAAGAAGGCTCTGAATTTCATCCTTCGCATCTTTGGCGGCTCTGACGAATTTGTATGTGGTTCTGAAGATAACGTCGGCTAGTGAGATCAAGCCGGCAATACTGGCTGCCAAAGAAAGAGGGTCGGCCATGGCGAATGGCTGTATAGAGTTATCGCATCTCTGTATATATTATTCTATGGAAGAAAAGAGTTGAGACAAGTCCTGCCTTGAGGGATATCATAGCACCCCGCAAGGCGCAGCTGATGCGAAGGTAAGATCATGCAAGTCCTGTCAGCCCTCCACTCACTTCATGCAGTAGGTGCCCTGCTGCAGTTTCTGCCTAAAGCAAGCGCACTCAACTCAGCCCGAACCAGGCCTTTGAAAGCGACAGAAATATTCTTGTAAAGGCCCTGCGTTTTAGGTAATGACATGCAATACCTATCTATCGGTAACAACAGCTACGTAAGGTATTGACATATCTTAACGCCCTTGTTTTTTTGACACTCAGCCGGCCAAACTGACCAGGCTACAAAATCTCAAACTCTTTAGGCAATTCTTTCTCCTGTACCCAAGCAGCAATCCCAGAAGCAAACAACTCTGGAAGTTGTAAATGCCATGGATGATAAGCATCCCTCACAACGACAGCCTCATTCTTGACTCCCGTCTTCTCTCCTCCCTCTCTCAGAATAACTCCCATATCTCGTACAGGATCAATCTGATCCATCTTCCCTCCCGAAATAACACAAGTTCTGACTCCAGAATCTGCAACTGCTTTTACTTCCTCCATGCTAAAGGTACTGAGCTCCTTATTCATCGCCTTGGACCTCTCTGGTGAATGGTTCTTCTTCCCTTCGGCAACCCATTCTTCATAGTCAATTCCCTGCCGTCGCAGCGATGCCTCGAGTACACCAGGAATGCTCTGTATGCAGTTCACAATCGACATCGCCATCGGGTGCTCCATGAACCACTTAAACATTCCTCTGTATGGGTAAGCACCTGTTGCGAACGTCGACAACACGACGTCGGGATGGCGAGATGTGAGAACGAGAGCGATGAAACCGCCCAGTGATAGACCAACAACATGTGCTTTTCCGCCGTGTGCATGCTTTCGAATGACTTTGCATACTTCATCAGCAGCTGTTGCGAGGGTCAATGGGCGCCCGATGTCCCAAGACCCAGAGTGCATGGGAAGGTCGACGAGGATTAGGTGATAAGAGGCCAGTGATTGCTGGGGAGCAACCAGCTTCCATTCGATATGGCTGCCTCCACCACCGTGTAAGAATACTATTGATTCTTTCTGGTCCTGGTTGCGCTCCTCAAAGTAGAGTAGCTTCCCATTGTCAATTGGTACCTTAGACATGTTCAGGGTAGTCCGGAGACCAATTATTTACACAAAGTATGGCTTCTCGCGATAGCGAATCATAGAGATCTCGAAAAAGTTAACAGGAACGGGAACTAACTGGGGCTTGGCACGTATTTAAAGTAACTGCAACGAGCTTTAGAAAACCCAAACTCTCATGACTGTTGAGCTTTCGGGTAATCGGCAGACTTTTGTGATAAGGGACCAACACGCATTACGTATCACAGCTCAACATTGGTCAAATCAATACGAGACCATTACCCTGGAAAGACTCGGTTCAAAAGTTCATAAATCCTCTCAGATAAAGGTCAATCGGCTCGTTGTCCTCCAATAACCCGGATTTGGACACTCTCATTCCAATCCATTGCCATGATGAACGCAGGGGGACCAAAAACAGGGGTAATCCACGCCACAGCGCATGTGGACCCACCCCCATCACAGGCTAACGTTAACTCAAGCTACCCCAGATCCTCACCTCGAACCCTCAACCTTACCCCTTCACCAACCCATTCTATCGACAAAATATCCGACTGCCAACATGGCCGGTATCAGACTCCGCGATGTCAGCGGGTATCTGATCTTGCTCATCGCCATCTCGACCCTAGGGTCGTTGCAGTTCGGGTTTCACTTGGTACGTTTGCTCAGATCGCCGTGACAATAGCTAACTAACTATCTTAGGCTGAACTCAACGCACCCCAGGATGTTATTACATGCCGCAAGAAATCGATCTCCGCCCTCGACAAGATCAAGGGACTGGTCTACAAGCCGAAAGACGACGATGCTGGTTCTGGCTTCATGCCGCACTGTATCCCCATGGACGAGGCTTCGTTTGCGACGATATCTTCCATCTTCATGCTCGGTGGGCTGTTGGGAGCTTTGGCCGCTGGACCCTTCTCGTCGAAACGCGGACGGCTTCCTGCGATGCGCATCACGGGTCTGCTCTATTTGTTCGGAGCAGCTGTTGAGACCGTCGCAGGAAGCGTCTTTGTCATGGCGCTCGGTCGCTTGTTTGCTGGTATCGGTGCTGGAGCGTCGACTGTCGTTGTCCCTCTTTACATCAGCGAGATTGCACCACCCAAGGAACGTGGGCTGTTTGGCTTTATGACGCAGATCTCGATCAACTTTGGTATCCTGGTGGTTCAAACCATGGGATTCTTCCTGAGCTACGGCAGTGCTTGGAGATGGATCCTCGCTACTGGAGTCTTCATTGCGACAGCTCAAACTCTGGGTCTCTTCGTTGTCCCAGAGAGTCCATCGTGGTTAGCGGCGCAGGGAAATGCGCCCAAGGCCAGGCGGACCCTGCAGAGGATTCGTGGCAACGGCTACGACATTCATGAGGAGACCGAGACCTGGGACTCAGATGACCGTGATGCTTCCGAGGAAGATGGCTTGCTTCAGGCGGATAGTGCCTCCGAATCACCATCGAAGAATAGGACTGAGCATCTTGGATTCTTCGAAGTACTCAAGGACCCTGATACCAGGCCTGCAATCGTCGCTGTCGTGGGCATCATGTTTGCCCAGCAGCTCTGTGGTGTCAACTCGATCATCATGTACTCCGTGTCTCTTCTTGCCGATTTGCTGCCTGTCTCTTCGTCACTGCTCACTATTCTCGTTTCCGTTGTCAACTTGTTCACTACTATCGCGTGCGCGCCTCTTCCGGATCGTCTCGGTCGCAAGACTTGCCTCCTTGCCTCGATTATCGGACAAGGAACAAGCGCTCTCATTCTCGCCATCTCGATCATTTTTGGAATCAAGATTCTCTCAGCCCTCGCCGTTGTGGCGTTCGTTGGCTTCTTCGCAGTTGGTCTGGGTCCAGTACCATTCCTGATCTCCTCTGAGCTGGTCGGACAAGAGGCTGTTGGCGCCACGCAAAGTTGGTGTCTCGCAGCCAACTACGCAGCGACTTTCCTTGTCGCTCAATTCTTCCCGATCGTAAACTCAGCTCTTAACGATTTGCTGGGCGGTCACGGATGGGTTTACTTTATCTTCGCAGGCCTGGCCGCTGGATCTGCTATCTTTGTGTTCTGGAACGTGCCAGAAACAAAGGGCAAGAAGGATGTCGATGAGGTTTGGGGCAGGACAAGGCGCGTTGATTAGAAGCCTGCGACAATTACTGCCTTGACTTATCGTCATTAAAGGTTCACGATTGCTATTGTGCGTGGGGTACGCGCGCGGAATGATTTCTTTATTTGTATTCAAGCAGCGTACTAGGCAGTCGCAGATATGGCTCTACAGATAGAACGAAGCGCCTGTCGATTTACCGAAAGATCTTCTTGCTGCGGATCATCTGCTCCAGCTGCATGATGCCCGCCTTGACTCCGTCGACGATGTAGACAAGGTTACCGTCAGCCTTGCCGTACTCCTCGATAGCAGTCGATCTGATGATCTCCTCCAGACCAGCCATACCACCGCACCCCATGAGCACAACCGACACTTGTCCCTCATTGAGCAACTTTCGTGTTGCCTCCTTGAGCTTCTCCCTTACCTTCTCCGGAGGAACAGTGTGAAAGTCGCCCGCCGTAAGCCCAGACGAGAAAACGCCAGCAAACTTGTTATTCACGCCGTCCTTCGCCTGCCCAAGAAAGTTCTTGACGCCATGCGACAAGTGGTCCTCCCACCACTTCCCAGTGGTGACAATCCCCCATTTACCTGCATTATCGGGCGCAGCCATGAGCGAAAGAGACGTGAGAATACTCGCCTCAAAAATCCCAGTCACTGCAAGATGTCGATACCTAGTCAACTTTGACACCAAGCAATGAACGCTGAAACACGCGACGAGAACGCCGTCGTACTTATCCGACTCAAGCTCCTCCTCGATCTTGGGGTCATCGAGGACGGCCTGCGTGCTGCGGTCGATGCCCTCCTGGTCGTTGATGCTGTCTGGGGCGGAGTGGGGAGGGGCTGTGTAGGTATAGATCTCAACTGACTTTTGTGACACATCAGCCTGTGTAGAATTGAAGACTGTTTTGTTTTAGCTGTCTGTGTATCATACGTCTGGGAGTGACATTTGGCGGATGGCGTTGGCCATGCCGTCAGTCATGATAGTGGATGAGTTTGGGTTTAGGACGAGAATGCGGAGATTCCGTCTGAGGAAACGGAGCTCGGACATGATGGCTGATACAAAGACTCGACGATGAATATAGTGATATATATATAGCTTGATGAAGCTCTAAAACTGTGCCTACACTGAAATCTCTCACTTATCTTTGAGAGGGGTTTCTACATGACGGAAGCTAGACAGCTCGCGGGCGCCACGTGATCCGCCTCAGCCACCTCTGACGACGGTCGGCCACTCGAACCCCACTACTGACGACCACCTCAACCTCCTCTAAGCTGAAGCTCCCATATACCAACACGACACCTCCTCGGCCTCACAACCCTCCCAATACACATCCTCCGTCGTGGCCCATCACTATAATGTCTAACCCTCCACCCATTGGTAAGCTCTCTCCCCCCCCCGCAAGCTCCAGAAGCTCCCATCTCTCCCCTGACGCAAGCTGACCTCGAACCTCTACCGCTTAGTCCTCGACGGAGGTACCGGTTTCCTCAAGGTCGGATATGCCGCGCAGAACTTCCCCGAGCATCAATACCCCTCCATCGTAGGCCGACCGATCCTTCGTTCCGAGGAGCAGACCGATAGCGATGTTGTCATCAAGGATATCATGTGCGGTGACGAAGCTGCCGCCGCGAGGACAATGCTCCAGATCAGCTACCCCATGGAGAACGGCATCGTTAAGAAGTGGGACGATATGGAACATCTTTGGGATTATACCTTCTACGAGAAGCTCAAGGTCGATCCTACGGGCCAGAAGATCCTCTTGACGGAGCCTCCGATGAACCCTCTTAAGAACCGAGAGAAGATGTGCGAGGTCATGTTTGATAGATATAATTTTGGCGGTGTCTACGTCGCCATCCAGGCCGTCCTGGCTCTATACGCTCAAGGTGAGTTTCCCCAGAGGCTTCAATACTTCTTGCGCAAGAGTTGGTGTTGACCAATGCGGTGTAGGTCTTAGCTCCGGTGTCGTAGTCGACTCAGGCGATGGTGTCACACACATTGTGCCCGTCTACGAATCCGTGGTCCTCAACCACCTCACGAAGCGATTAGACGTTGCCGGCCGAGACGTCACGCGCAACCTCATCAAGCTGCTGCTGCGCCGCGGCTACGCCCTCAACCGAACCGCCGATTTCGAGACCGTCCGCCAGATCAAGGAGAAGCTATGCTACGTGTCGTACGACCTCGAGCTCGACAAGCGCCTGAGCGAGGACACCACTGTGCTCGTCGAAGATTACACCCTGCCGGACGGACGTGTGATCCGCGTTGGCAGCGAGCGTTTCGAGGCGCCCGAGTGTCTCTTCCAGCCTCACCTCGTCGACAGCGAATCCCCCGGCCTTGGCGAATTCCTCTTCAACACCATCCAATCCGCCGACGTCGACATCCGCTCGTCTCTGTTCAAGGCTATTGTTCTGTCTGGTGGTAGCAGCATGTATCCCGGTCTTCCGTCGCGACTGGAGAAGGAACTCAAGCAGCTGTGGCTCACACGGGCGCTGCAGGGCAACCCTGAGCGATTGAGCAAGTTCAAGGTGCGGATAGAAGATCCTCCGCGACGCCGACACATGGTGTTCCTTGGTGGAGCGGTGTTGGCCAACATTATGGCGGACAAGGAGAGCATGTGGGTTACCAAGGCGGAGTGGGAGGAGGAGGGTACTAGAGTGCTTGAGAAATTGGGACCGCGATAAGAGAGAGCCTCTGAGCGTTTGTTAGAGGGGAAGGTATTTTGCGTTCAAGTCAGTTTGTGGTAGACAGCAAGAAAAGACGTTATGAAGACCATGTTGCCTTGACTGGGGGTCTCATTTCTGTGTTGGTGTCAATTGAGCTGATTGACCATCTCGGATGCATTTCAATGTTGAGATGATTGAGAGCGATAGCATGAGAAGTATAGTTCATGATCATTCCAAAAGCGTGTCCAATGTAACCATCACCAACAAGCTTGACACCAAAA